ACTTGGTATGCTGTTGTTACAGGACAAGGAGATATTAAAAACGTAGTAAAAAGAGGGGGTCACCGTGCTTATTTTAACGCCACAATGATGACGAATACGTTTGTTTAGGTGACTTTTGGTAATCTCCGTGCGCAACAAACAACCTAGATTATTTTTCAATGCAACGTGTTATATCACACAGAGTTTGACTTTTTTGATTGTTTATTCATGTACGTCCCAGAAAAATGTCTTCAAATACCCTGCATTATTTTATCCTTTAAAAGAAACATAATTTGGACATGCGCTGTTGGGCCCGTTAAGTCTCCCTCTGTAGTATTTATTTCATTTGCCGAGAAAGTAGCCATAGATTTCTGCTAGTTTTTTTTCTCAGAGATAAGGGATATTGTTCTCATTGAAATTATGAAATAAAAAGTGGGGGTCACCGTGCCTGTTTAAGAGAAAATGACCATTTATTTCGCTCTCGGGCTTAGTTTGAGGGAAATCTCTTGCGTTTTGTACGCGCACGCGCTCATGTGCGCACGCTAATGACGCGAAAACCATGCGCAGTAGGGATACGCAATGCAATACTAAGGAATCACTTTAAAGGGGCTACGTCATGGTTTGAGTATCTTGAAAACGTCTAGCCTAAATTTTTCAAGTTCGTCGTTTGTAATCATTGTCAATCTTCCCTATCTTAGTTTCACGGTTCGGCGCATGTCTGTATTATCTTTTCGCTCGTGCACGCTTTTTGGCACAGGCCCAGGTTTTCATCGTTTATGAACCAATCATAAGCAAGGTACCTGATTTCGCTTGAAATAGCCGTAAAATCATCAACTGTAGAATAAGTCGTACGGGTCAAAACTAAATTCAACGGTCGACAGAATTTTGGTCATCCCCCATTCTGCCACAACTAACTTTAGCACATGCGATTACTGAACTACAGCTGAGTGGGGTTTTTGAATTAAGCGATAACATTGATAAGAAACGAACAAAAGTATTGCCGGTTTTCACATGACGTCACTGAAATTCAAGCTACAAAACTATTGATCCTCCTGACATTTTACTTCCATGATGTATAAGAGCAGCTGAAAACTAATATCTATACAAATTTTTGCTCCGGAAGGGTTCTTGGTTTTGTGATAGACTACGCTTGAATTTCTAAGCTTTGCGTGACGCGGCATTTACATGACGACCTAGAGAGCTCCCATGTTGGTTAAAAATGTGGCTTAATTCGGGTAATTTGGCTATCTTAACAGTTCTTGTGTTAGAAAAGTATTATTTTAATGCTTTTGAGTTCCTCGAGAGATAAATTCACACTTTTGTAGCAAAACTCAGTGACAGATGTTTCTGTTGGTTTGCGGCCGCCATGTTGGTGCCCATCCGGATGGGCACCAACGTGGCGTCTCCATACCAATCTCTATAAATTTGGGTAAAACGTTTCTCCGCATATCTTGCATACGAAAAATTGCTGTGACCTGAATTTTGGCGAGAATCTTTGCCTATTTACTTTCTTTCTGTTCTCAGAATCTGGATTTTATCTATTGAACGGTTTTGATTCTTATTTTGATCTATTTTGAATGGCGTGACACTGAATACCAGCATTTTGATTTAGAGACATGCGCCGAACAGTGAAATCCTCCCTTTAACCATCCTTGTTCCTTTATGGTTTACTATTATCTCTGTGGTGTATCTCTTTGGTATTTATCTTAATAAACCATTATTTTCAGGTTTCACTGAAGTTAAGAAAGGTTTCCTTAACTTCAAGGTAGTTTGATACGTGACCAAAATAAATTAAATCAAGATGTGGTGACTGAGCTCTATTAACACTAGCAATGTTAGAGTGGGAACTAAGAGTAGAGAATTATCATGACATGCCAAACCTGGTGAGTTTATACACAACATGTAATTAAGTACCTCAGTTGGTGTCGGTGTTGTTGGTTTTTTCTGTCGTGTTATTGGTGTCGGTAGGGTTGCAATTTCCTGAGACGGTGCCGGAGTGGGTTGAGGGTAAGCACCTGAAAGAATTCAAGTATTTATAGATATATAATCGCTTATCATTTGATGTATTTTCTCTTCCTTTCCATTGGCTGAGAGCCCACCATGTAACATGCAAAAAACTGCCTATAAATAATGATCTGCTCGTGTGATTTACTATCTAAACGTGTTTTGCTGCAGACAGTATTCTGCTCAAGCTTAATTGAGCCACGCTCTCATGTGAAAAATGGCAAGTCGCTTCCTTGAGCTGTCAGACTGTGATTTAAATATGAAAACAAACTTGTCGATCGAATGATGAACCAATAATAATGATAATATTTCTCTGAGCAATTTCTGACGGCTATTTTCGGCGCATCCCAAACATGGTCATTCGATAGTTTGATAGTTAACCGTGGGGTCGGAATCTCTCACGTCCAGCTCTATTGTTGTCTGGTGAAAAAAGTGCCGTGGACGTAAACAATAACAAAGCCGCAATTCAAACTAGTAGAGACGAACACTGAAATGCCAGCCGCTTACATGAAATAACTCCTTTGATCTTGAACATAACGCACGTGGTTCTGAAGGGTGTGTCAGAGTTGAGAGCGCCACATTGAATTGCCACCCTGACTGTGCGACCAGCCATAGACGTAGGTAGTGATGAACCGGGCTTAAGCTGAAAGAGAAACCACATGTCTAATCAGCTTACTTCCTCAGACAAAACAGTTGAGTACTGGAAAAGGAAAAAAAAGCTACTAAATTCGACAGAAACCCAGCGAGAGTCGGCATGTCTTTGAAAAATTTGTCTAATTTTGAATTCTGAACCTTCGAACTTGCAAGTAAACTCCTCCCTCTCTCCAACCACGTGGTTCGCGGGAGGGAGATTGATGAAACCCCTCCCCTAGCCCGGGTTTTCGTTGTGATCAAACACATCTACACTTTTGTGCTTGACATGATGTGACTTTATAGGTCATGGCGTCATTAAGTCATCTTGAATTCGCCATCTTGAATTTTACAGAAAGTCAGAAAAAAACTTGACTTGATGGGGAATTACCAAACATAATACTAGAATGCGAAAAGGCACTCGTCTTCAATGTTGCTAAAAATCTAGAAAAAAAAAAACTCGAATAATCATGTCAAAATAGATACAACTTGCCTTAACCTGTATGTCAAAATGCGGTTGCCACTGTAATATAAAATGACATGGAGAAACAATTGACTTTTTAAAATCTCGGTGAGTGATGAATTAACAGATACTGGACGTTTCAGCATTACAGAGTTAATTCTTTTCGAGTCCGAGGATTACAACCCTTTTGAACATTTTGGCGAAGACAACGGTGTCACACTCACCTTTATTGACAGCTGACTTATTGACCATCCCCTTGTCACCTCAATTACGTTAGACAGACTCTGCGATTTCCAAGTACCGTCACACCTGAGGTAGTTTACATGAAGTTCATTTCCAAAATAGAAACTGCAGTTCTGGTTTGCAGGAACACTAATGAAGTTTTCAAGAGCAGAACCAGAAGGGAAAAATGGCAGAGAATTATCATCTGCTTCATCCGTGAAACCTAACTCGCAGCCTACCGAAAGTGATAAAAGATAAATAAAGAACGTTCAATGCGTTAGCCGTAATTAGGGCCAAAGATTTAGCCGTTAGGTGTAAAGATTGGAAATTTTCTTCGTGTGTCGTCTTATTTTACCTTAAAATTTAAAAAAAAGGTCAAAAATAACACTTCTGATGGAATGTTATTGATAACCTCGGCATTTTACTTTGAAAGCCAACATTAAGGTATGAAACCGTCTGCAATATAGTATCACGTTTTCGGAGTTTATCGAATTATATTAATACTCTAATATTCTTTCAACCAATTAAGCATAATGAGTTTTAAACGTGTTTTCATAGAGTTTTCAACGATGATGACAAATTCACTAGTTACTTTAAAGTTTCAAACTCGAATACATAACGAGGGAATAACTTTCAAAGCAAGTTTGCAGTTCTAAGGTTTGTTAAAACCCCCGTCAATATCATTAGGAAAAACAAAAGGTGAGTCGCACTCGTAAACAAATAGGTGTGCCTCAAGCAAACTATAGGATTGGAATAAAAAATTAAAATAGAAATTTATTCAGAAAACAAGTCTAGAATTTTTATTTATAGAAAACGTTGTCGTGGAGGATCACTGCTACACAAACAAATGCCATACCTGCATTTTGCCGAGCCGCTGTGGCAAGTACGCATTTAAATTCATGTTCGTAGAAAGAAGACGCTTGCGGACAGTTGCACCAGCACCCTCCCAGCTGATGTGCGTTGAATTTGCTGCACAGAGGCCTAAAACTCGGGCACAGAGAGGTCGGTAGAAGAAAGTCGTCCGTAGGGAAGCTGACACCTCGTTCGATCTCAATATTGTCAGCAAAGCAGCATCCTGACAAAGTGATCAACAACAAAAGCGTGGAGAATAAAGCCATGGGAACTATTTATCCAAACAGTGGAATATATATAGCCATCAAGCACGCATTATCATCAATCAATTGTCCTTTTTCGATGGCAGAACTTGTACCCGAGTATTCCAAAACCAAACGAGAAGGCCTTTACTTAGAAGTCGCTTCCAATGGGATCAAGTCTCAACTTCTTATTCAGTCATTCAGATCAAAACAACTTGAAAAGAGAAGCTGAAGTCACGAAAACAAAACGTCTTGGAGTGGAACGCTGACCAATATACGTAAAAAGTATTGAACCAAGAGGATATAACTGTCTTCATATATCGGTTTTTTTTTTTGATGGACTACTGGATAACACTATCTATGACCTTGATCTGGATAGAAATTTTGGGTTCGCAGAACTTCTGGTCTTAGATATTAGCGGTGCCGTAAAAATACAGTAGCGAGCACTCCTTGCATGTGCATGACTTTTTTAAAGCAATTTCCTTTCTCTTTCAATAACTTAAACTCTTCTCAACCTGAGAACACTAACAGAACTTTTAGATGTAAGTTTAGTGCTGAAAAAGTCGTGTTATTGGTATTTAAATGCCAAGTCTTCACACTTCACTAGTTTTGCAAAGCACGTCTTATCAAGTGCCATCGTGGAAAGCAATACGACACGTTGCTTTTGATATATTCCACATCAGTATATGTGCTACAACAAGCTTTTATCAATCCATAGTGTAAATGACCTATCTACACGTTCAAAATAAAAAAAAGGGTGTTACAACAACGCACGCACCAGCAAGCAAATTCCAGTCCAATCTCGTTCAAATAGCCTTCGATCATATTGGTCAGCACCCTTCTCGAAAAGGCCCGAGGACGACCTCGCGGGCTGTATATAGGAAGAAGACTAATTCCAGTCCTCTATGATACCAAACGCCGCTAGCACAAATTTAGTCTCGGTTAAATTATATTATTTAGCAAATATGGAAAATTAATACAACCATTTTTATCATTCATGAATTAAAATTGAAGCTGATACTTGAATTCAGTCCACTTTCGCTTTATTAGGTAGCCATTTTGCTTTGTCAGGTTTTAAACTGTAGTCAGGAAAACAAATTGTATACGTACCGACCGAAATCTTCGCAGAGCAAGCGCGGCCAAGACTGAAGAAAGTGGTAATTTCAAGATTGTAAATTAAATTTATGCCAAGAATTGATGAAATGGTTTTCCTATGTAACCAGGAGCCATAATCGGGGACGGAGACCGTAAGTCTCGGGATTCGCGCGCACCTATGATATGGGACAATTTTTCTATTTTTAGAACAAATTGC